TATAAAAATCACTTTTTGTTTGCTTTTTATTCATTGATTAAAGAAAAAAATTAATTTTCAATTTTCTGTGGATTCAACTCTTCTTACCACTACTATAATTAAGTTTTATTAGTTAATTAAGATTTTATTTATGGTGAATTAAACACTCATGTATTTTCTTTTTTTTTTCTTTTTCTTTTTACGATAGAAAATGAATCTTTATTAAGACTGACAAAATACAAAAAGCAGCAAAATAAAAGAATTTTCTTTCATATACACTTGGGATTTTGTTGCATTTTTTCTTATAATGAAGCCAAATCCAGGTAAAAGAACTAAACCTATCATTGAATTTCATAACCCAGAACACAAGAATCTCCATCTGAGGAAAAAGAAGCCATCTGTCCTGTTTTCATCCTTTCAGATTATTATTCAAGTGTTGAAAAAGGTATGATTTTCAGATCTCTGTATGTTCCATGAATATATATTTTCTAATGTATAACCTCCCAGCATTTCCTACTACCATCTTTTGCAAGACAACGATCCTTACCTCTACACTTACAGCAGTTTTTGCACTAGGATGGTGATGATGATACTTTCCGTTTTACTGTACATGACTTTTCTCCCAGATGAAGAAGATAAGTCTCGCATTCTCTGAGAAAAATAAATAAAATCAAGTTCATGTTTCCAACTATCATAAGCGATTCTCCAAGAGATCAGGCAATGTGATCTTCCCAGAGTTGTTGGGATCAAGCTTGCTGAACTGATGGCAGATCTGCAGAATATCTTTCTCTCCAATCTTCCCCATCTCCTTAAGCTTGAAGATGATGTACTCTGATTTGCTGAAATTAAAAAAAAAATGAATCTAAGAAAGAAGTCAGGTTCTGTTCCACACAATTTAGTCCATAATGGGAACATAAAAGATCCTAAAAAGGACTGTTTCCACTTGCAGTAGAGGTGTTTTCTCAGGTCAATCTATCTGGAACTTTTCATATGCATCACAAATAATTTAGAAAATAATACCAATAATCATTTATATTCTAAGGAGAAAACGTGCACCACCTTTCCTCAATTAACATAATTGATCGAAGGATGTTCAAGTATAAAAATTGCTTCCTTGCAGAAAGCTACAACAATAGTAAATTCACTAACAGGTAGATTTCAATTTGACAGACCATTTCAATACATAATACAGCATGACTTAATACTTGGAAACTTCCTATGCTCATTAATGCTATAGTTGCCTTCCTTGACAAATTCAAAATAGGAAAGAAGGAAAGTCCTAAGGTACTCATAAACTGGATTCTGCTCCGGCACTATTTCCCTTCAAAAGTTATAACCACTCACTTTTTTCCAAGTAAAGAACAGGAATCCAAAAGCTGCAAACGAGATAATTTACATACGTGAACAATTCTCTGAAGCCCAGCAAATTGTCATATTCACCCGATTTTAAGTTTCTTATACATTTGATTCTAGTTCTAATACTATCCTCCTCACCTTCATACACAGACAGTCATTAGAATTCAGAGGTTTTAACGAAACCCATGTCAAATTTAACCAGCAAAAGAACCTTAAGTTCCTAATGCAATCAACAAGCTTCGAAAGGAATTAAGTACTAAATTCCCTTTTCAATGTACTAGTTTCAGTTGTTGAAGCAAGAATTATCAATAAAACTACTCCAAGCATAAAACTATATCAGTTCCGGGTGTAAATTACGAAGTTAATTGAAATGCAAACTTAAGAAATTCCCACCTGATGAAGCCATTGTTATTGATATCTGCTGCAAGCAAATCCTCCACAGTGATATCACGATGTAAGACCCACTTGGCGATCCTCCTGTGCCTCTTGTCAATCCTAGCCTCTGCCAAATACAGGAACGCCCTAGCCACCGCCAGTGTGGACAAGAGAAGCCAGAGCGCCGCAAACAACCTGCCGGGCAGGGTTTTGAAGGCCCTGTCTCCATACCCAACAGTGGTGACAGACATGACTGATAAATAAACTGAGTCGACCCAGTCAAGATCCTCCACAAAGTAGAGCACCAGTGTACCAATACCGATACAAAGAACCACAACACCAAGCGCTAACCCAACTTTGAGTCTAATTCTCATCCTCCCCTTTTCCACGTCGACAATGTAATTCCTGGCTGAGAATCCTTCTCGAGCTTTCTCCATTTGTATCCCAGTCAAGATCATGTTCTCTTGCAAGTCAAGGACATAATTCACAACCCCACTCAGCAAGATGTCTATGAAACCAAAACCAACAAGCACGAAGACACAAGCAAAAACCTTAGTTGCCGGCGTTGTCGGAGCAATATCCCCGTATCCAATGGTACACATGGTGACTATACAGAAATAGAACGCATCAACAACCGGATGAGTCTCCACACCCGAGTAATGATCTCTGTTAAAAGAATAAATAGCAATACCCAGAGATAAGTAAAGCGTAAGCAGGACAATCGCCTGTCTAATGATGGAACCAGACTCAGATTGGGGTTTGGGTATTTGGGGCACTTTGGATTCGTGGTCTCGCATGACGACCATGGCCGGAGCAGTTTTGGAGCGATGTAAGGACTTGGTCTTGAGAGTAGTCGCGGGGGGCAATCGTTGTTGTGGGTGGTCTTGGATTTCAGAGAAAATGACTGGGTTTGAAATGGAATGAGGGAGGGAGAAAGGGGAGGCATCGTGGAGGATGGATTGCAGCTGGGGTCTTGTTTGGGAGGCGAGAAAAGGCTCGTTTTCCATCTGAGAAAAAAAGGGGAAGGTACAAAGCTAGTTACTTTCCGTGGATTGGGATTGGTTTATGGAAGATAGTTGACGAGAAGTTGCGTGTGATTTTGTTGTTTTGCTTTTGGTTGCCCCCAATCAACACAAAATGCCTTAATTACCATTTGTTGTGGGACCCACCTAGCAGCATAAAAATGCCTTTGATGTGGGACCCACACCCAGGTTCAATCAATTGATCCTAGTCATTCCCGTAGGTGATTGTATCTCATATTGTAGCTATGGATTACTTCATAATTTAATTCCTCCTCTGCTTCTGGAATTGGACTTAAAGAGTAGATACTGATCTTAATTTTGTAATTGGTATAATTCCTACTTTCTTCATCCGCCAATCTCAAAGGGGGCTTCTCTTTCATTCTGTCAAATACCTGGTGCACCCAATAAATGATACAGGAAAAGGTCACAACCACCATTAAGTTTGTCAAATATCTTGTAAAGAATTAGCAACCAAAATCATGCTAGAGACAAAACTTCAAAAATGTTCGCATACTTCATTTACTTTCTGAAACTTTTCCTTTTCCTTCTCCTTTTCCACCTATTTCTACTTCTAAAACTTTGTTGGGACTGAATTTTACAACACATGCAGGCTTGTATTTTCTCACCGACCCATAAAAAATGGTTTTTTATTTTATAGGTCAGCATGGCAATTTGCATAATCGAAAGTCTTGATGCTATCATTATATTAAACAATTTTCAACTTGGTGCTTTTTAGTAATCTCAAACTCGTCTGACCGATTATATTGGGTCAACAAACACATAAGTCTATTTAGATGTTATATTTTACAATCTTCTTTAAGCACTTTTCACTACAAGAAAATCAATTTACATCATCACTCAGTTTTAATAACAAAAAGTTTCTTTTTATATAAGTAAATATGTATTGAATGTATAGGTGACTGGTCCATTAATATGACTACCTTTTTGATAGTTTATTACTAAATATCAAAAACTGTTTATATCTCTTCTTCTGTTAATAACCAAAATGAGGTTGTCAGTATGCTACCGTCAAGGTCTGGTCGTTAGCATAGAATAATTAGCTTTATATGGTTACTTAATCCAACCCAATTACCTTTACACTAAAACTTAATAAATCCACAAATGAAACAATATAAAGTTTCAAGTTTTTAAATTTAAGTTTTCAACATTGAAATCATGCATCGAAATTTAAAATTTTTAAAGTAGAAAATAAAGTCAATACCAACTTGTATGACTTTGGATAAACATATAACTAGTACATCATATTTTATGAGTGATTATAAATTTGTGATTTAGAATACTGAATATATATATATATATTAATAAAAAAAAATATGAATTCATTGGAGTGATTAAATATATATATATTTTTTTAAAAAAAATAATATTAATCCATAATAACTGTGCAGATCAAACGGTTGATAAGCAATTGATGTTATCAAAATGATATATAAATCTTTATCAAATAGATCATTTGTCACACTTTATTTTTTCTTTTTTTTAAAAAAAAAAAAATTAGGTAATATCTACTTATATCATTTTACAATTAAAATACTTTCTAAATGAAATTGTTTTTCTGGAATATTGATGAAAAGTATGCATATGTAAATATAATTGTAAAAATCAATTATGTTATATTTTTAATTTGAAAAAATATTTATTTTATCTTACATAAAATCATAAAATATATTATGTTAAGACGATAATTAACAAAATCATAAAATATTTATTTATAACAACATCAAACTTATATATTATTTTAAATAAAATAAAACTTGTTCACATTCATTTATTAGTGATTAGACTAAAAATAGTATCAAAATTATTTAGGATTAAGAATATAATATGAAGCTTAGAAGTTTGACTTCTGAGTGAAATAAAATTTAATATATTATGTATACAACATCCACCTAATATATTTAAACTATCTTTACTTCTATTTTTTCATGTAGAATGAATTAACCCTTCACCCACCCTTTTAATGCAATTAAAAAAGGAATGCTTGCATAATTTAATTTAAATTCTATTCATAGTTAGCATTATAAAAGATCATGATTAATCTTATCTACCTTAACTAAACTAATTAATGAATATGTATATCATTTAGATTTTATAGCTTATAAACTTAAAAAAAAAAAAATGTACAAATCTAGAAAGTAAAGAAATCTTAAATGTTTTAAAACTAATTAATGAATATCCTGGGTTACTTTTTTTTTTTTATATATATTTTGATATAATTAAATATGAAATTTTAAAAATTAAATTTAATAAGTAAAATAAGAAATCATGATACTGTAATACTTTAATTTTATTGAGACTACTTTTTTTTAAAAAAAAATTTGGGTAAATATAGAATTAGATATTTTTACTAATATTAACTTTTTTGTCGCTAGCTAAAAATGATAATGGGTAATTTAAAGAATATGGTGAAGATGATTGTCATTTTCTACTTTAGTCATGATTAATCAATGCATGAGAAATTATGAGCAAGTTTAATGTCGTTGTGGCTCTTAAAATTATACAAGGATCAGTGATGTTGTGGTCCCACCATCAATCCCACGGTACCGAAATCTTTTTAATGCTAAATGTTGCTTAGTTGATTGTGTATGTTTATTTTTAAATAAATTATTAAATTAATTTTTAAAATTCAGTATTTATTATAATTTAGTCTTTACTAATTTTTTCATTATATTTTATATTTATTTCAATATTTGATTTTTATTTTCTAATGAAAAATTAAAAGAATTAAATTGTATTTTAGATACTTTTATAAGTAGTTTTTTAAAAAATAATTTTAATTTATTAATCAACTCAATATATTAATAAGTTAAAAATAATTATTAATTAATTTATTTGATTAATTAGTAAATTTTTTATATTATTTTTAAAAATATCTAAATATGATTTAACCATTTTAAATTAAATGGTAATGAAAAAATATTAAATATTAAATTATAATAAATGATAATTTTTAATAATTAATTTAATAATTTACTTTTTATTTTTATTGACATGACATGACTAATAAAAATTTATTTAATGTGTAGAGAAGATATGATCTCAAAAAAAAAATTGTAACACCCACAAAAAAAAAATAATAAAAAAAAATAAATAAAAAATTTGTGTATAATTAAATAATTAATAAATATAATTTTTTATTAATTTATTTTATTTTGTCGTATTTTATTTTATTTTATTTGGAGTAAAAATAAAGTAAAAATTAAATGAGGATGAAATTGAAAACTATTTTGGGAAAAATGGGTAAAAATTTGAGTTATGTGAGCATTTTTTAAAGAAAAATCGAAAATTAGGGGTCAAAGTGCAATTTGAAGAAGTTCTACCATGTGGGACACTCGGTCAGCAACCCCGACAAATCAAGATGTGCCACGTGACAACGAGCACTGACGCGGTGCCATGGGAGAAGCCACACGGGCGATCTGCGTGCCCGCGATTGAACAACCCAAGTCCATTCCCGCGCGCACGGACAGCCTGGATACGCTCCCTAGCCGCCAAACCCCCTCGCCGGAGAAAATGACCCAGCTACCAGAGAGCCGATTGCCGCCACCTGCCGCCGCACCGAAACCCTTTTCGACTACCAAAAAAGGTAAAAACTTTCTTTTTTGCACGAAATTCAATTTTAAGCTCACCCATAACCAAATCAGAGCAAAAAGACCAACCAATTGGCCGAAAAATGACGACAAAATCTGATGGTGCCGCCGCGGAAAATTTCACAAAACGTCTCCAATGAGGACATTCCTGATTTCCGTTCTGTGTAATTTTTCTACCGTGTGATCGTTGTATCTTTATCTACAAGTTGACCGGAGCAAAACACCCAACTGCAATGTGAGCCAGAAAAGCCGCCGCATCGGCGAGCCCCGCCGCCAGTGACATTCGATTTTTTGTATTTTTTGAGCCAACCGAGACTCTTTAAAGTATTTCTCGCAGGGATCAATGCAAAATCAGCCGAAAATAGCCGACTCGAGGTGGACTGTCGCCACAGGCAGCAGTGCCATCGCCGGAGCACGGCAGAGCTACCGTGCTGGAATTCTGAAATTGGCCGAGTGGGCCCTGGGATTGATTTTGGATTTGTTTGGAACATTTGTAGGTACTATTAACGTGTTTTAATTCCTGGAGAAAAATTCAGGGAACCGAGGGACCGCCCGTAGGCGCAGTAAACAGGTTAGCTTTTTGGGCGTCAAATCAGGTAAGGATCCCTCATCTTATTCTCTATCATAGAATTGAAGTCTAAATTAATAATAATATGGTATTTATGCAAATTAAATAAATGTGGATAATTATGTTCTCTGTTGATTTATTTTATAGTATAAAAGTATGATGGTATCTGGTTTATCACTTTTATGATTTGAATGCATGAATTGCTGTCTTACATGACTACTGTTTAATTGGAAAATTGAAATATGATTGCATTCCCTGATGCATGTTTGTTTGCTTATGTGTTCATAATTGATTTGGACAATGGAGACTAAAGAAAAACGAGAAAGTTGTGTGGTTAAATAAACAGATTGAAAGACAGCCTTACTAGATATTCTAGGAGATAGTGGACGGATTGGATACATAGAGAACCCTACTGTGAACGTTGTCTCATACCGGACAGGGTATGGAGACTTGGTAATTTGGTGCTCATATCGGACAGGGTATTGGGATAGCTCGTTTTACTATCATACCAGACGAGGTATTGAGATTTAATAATTTGGTGCTCATACCGAATGGGGTATGGGGATGGCTTATAATTGAGATTGTTAAAGGAAATGAGTCACGTGTAGCGGAGACATCCCTATGAACCCCTATGGATACTAGTAGGTTGGTGAAAAAATGACAGTTATTGTTTGGTCATTTGACGATGTATATAGATTTATGATATGTACTATGTTACTGATCTTATATGAAATTATAATCTGTATGATATTATTGTCTGCATAGGTTGTTTTTATAAATTTCACAGTGGTAAGTGAACGGTAAATGATTTTATGACTGATAAATAGATTTGCTAAATTTAGTGATGCATTAGTTGTTTTGTTTTTATACCCACCTTTAT